CCCCAAAACCCCAAAACCCCAAAACCCCAGAAAGCGAAACTCATCAGAATGTATGAAAAAGTTAATAACACTAATGATCTTCATTACATATATATTTTGAATCAGCAAATATACTTCTTATAATATATCAACTGCTTTCAATGTTTTTCCTCAAACGAATGTATTTGTAATAACTTAAACTTCCGAGTATTTTGCAATTAAGGGTGCGCTGTTGATTAAAATATTGGTAATGTCTGTCACCTTTAAAGTCTAGTAGTTGTAAAGTTTCCCCTTGAATTCTAAACTAGTGTGTATCATCTGAGGGTTTTTAATAAGAATTTCATCACCAGGCTTGATGATATCCGTCAGAGATTTGTTTGTGTGATAAATTGAGACTACGCTGAAGTTGTATTTAAAATCTACTACTAGGAAGCACATAGGTACATCTTGTTCTTTTGCCAAATGGCATACTACTTTTGCGCTAACGATTACGTGTGAATTTTCACCTGCCTCTATTTAACTAGTGGCCACAACATTATAAATAATCTTTTGCTTTTACTCCTCATTTGTGGGGAAACTTACTTAATGAGGCAGAGTGGTGGGAACAGATTTAACCATGTTAATGAGTTTATTTGACTTTACTCTTCCTTTTTATTGAATCAGAGTGTAAGCCTAAATCACAAAATTGACAATCTTTTCAGCTCTTTAATCAGCTTGAAGGTTAGGATCAATTGAATGAGCCCTTAAATAATCTCTCACAGCTTCATTATATCTTTCTAGATATTCGTAAATAGTAGCTCTGTTGTAATAGAGATCTGGGTTTGGCTCTTTTTGAAGTCTCTCTGTTTAAGTGTATGTTTTTAAAGCTTATGTAAGCTCATCGGTACTTCCTTGATTCACAAAGAAATTAGTCAAGTGAGCATTACCTAGCACATCTACAAAAATGATTAGGGACAAATATGGTATTTATACACCAGGACTAAGGATCAGACAGATCAAGTGAAACAGCTTTGTTAGCAAGAACTATTGATTCCTTATAGTTTAGCTTCTTCTGTTCAGCATCTGTTAAATATTTAAGATTCATTTTATATACTTTGCTCATCAGTCATTCTTAGAACCATAGATAGATGACGAAGTGCTTGTTTATTGTTAGCGTTCTATAAAAGATATTTATTTTCTCATCAATTTTATCTATACCTATTCTAAAGAACCCTCGAAGCATTTTCTAGCTGATGCGAGGTCTCTCTTTTTCCAGTAAACATGGCCTAACGCATCCCAAGCCTCTTGCTTTGTTGGCATCAGCTTAATCGATTTACTAAGGAAATCTTCTGCATTTTTAGAATATTCAGGGAGGTAGTCAAGGGCTTTACCTCTCAAATACAGTAGATCTGCTTTCTCTTTCTTGTTTTATACTATAATGATTATCTAATTTCATCCATCATACTGAATTCAATAGGTTTAGTGTCCAAAAGCTACGTGATATCATCTATCTTCTGCTTAATCAATTTGTGTCTATCTTTACCGAAATACGATTTGTCCAAATGATCTAACTACTCAACAAGCAATTTCACTTAATCAGACATCTCTATATTTTATAATGAAGCACTATAAATACCTTGTTGTTTGATTTCTTCCTCTGCACCAATGTTTTGCTCTGCTGAAGAGTCTTATGCAAATGTCTAGGTTGTGTCCATTTTAAACTGTTTATTATAGATGATAATATTTGCCTCTCTTTAAAATTTAAAAAATTTGAAATCGAAACTTATTATTCAGGAAAATATTTTAATTTCATCGCCACAGAAAAATAGCTTAATTTTTCTCGATGGGGTTTTGGGGTTTTGGGGTTTTGGGG